GGGGGAGGGATCCGTAAATACATGTAGATTAAGTTCCCAAAATTTCAGCCCTGTAGCTTTTGTAGGTCTCGAAAGGAAAAATCGGTACGGACGAACACACAGACACACATACACAAGCAACCCTTCGTCAATAAGCGTTTTCTGCATTTCATAGCTGCAAAGAACGCATAAATAGGTAACAAAATGCATCCACCGAACACATAAGCACACATACGCACAGGGAGACAATCTCTTGGCATGCATTTTTTGCACTTGCATAAAAATGCAAAAACACATTTAAAACCCAAGCTGGAAAGCACCAGGTTTGCCAGTGTGATCATACATTTTTGCACTAAACTCGCAGATAGTTAATAGCAACAATGATTCCTGCTCTATAGCCTAACACATGGGCTCATATTGGCCGTGCTCTGGCTTCTTCCGGCGTGCAACAGAAAGGGCGTCGGTTGGGTTGAAGGTGCTGAACTATAGGACAACGTGGATCTGCAGGCACGTGGTTATCAGTTTTTTGCATGAAGTCCGGTCAGTTTTCTGGTAAGTGCTCGCTCTTCGAAAAAAATGCAAATTTCCATTTCACTGAAAAGTAGAATTGTTGCAATAGCGGTCGTTTATCAAAAAATCCAAATATGTAAATGAGTTCATTTACACGTTGGGAGAGAATGATGGCGGTCATTCGCTGCAAAATGCACTCGATTCTGAGTTTGCACTTCTCATAGCCACCTGCGGGGAATTTCATCTCCAAGCGGGATTAAGATCATGCATGAAAGTCGAATATCCCAGCGACGTTTCAGTCTCGCACCTTATCCGGTTAGGGAAATAGCCACTTCGCTACAAATATATTTGAAGTGCCCTAAGTCGTGGCGCAAGTGCAAATCAGTACTTATTTTAGGCGTACGATTTTCCATATGGGCGATAAATATATTGACGAAATTTCAGCCACTGTTTTCTCGTTAATTTTCGAGTTAAGACAGTGCCAAGTGCAAACCTTGGTATGATCATAGACGCCAAGCGCCCGCGACAGCTGAATTTAAAACCTTTAGCTCGAGCATGCACAGAGAATATCCCTGCAAAATTTCAGCTTTGTACCTTGCTTGGTTCGTAAAATCGTTTACAGTCAAAAAAATATGCATGTTTTTTTCGGGAGTCCGTACGCGGGGTCTAGGCGCGTATGAGCGAGAATTTTAAAACGGGAGGATGACACACAGGGTAGGAACATATATCCAAAATTTCAGCCTCCCAGCTTTCCTGGTTGCTGAAAAGAAAGTAGGTGACAAAGTTCGCTCGCTTTCGAACACACACATACACCTATATACACACGGACGATCTCTCGACAATATGCGTTTCTGCTGGCTGTAGCAGCTATAGCAGCGCTGTGGCGCTGCTTAGCAAAAACTCATAAAAATGAAACAAACTTGTAATGTCGGCGCACCGAAAATCGGGTTTGGAGGCGAAAAGTATACTAAGTGATTTTCCAATCGAAATCGGCTGATTAGTTTGTAACCGATCGATTATTCTGTTCAGATCGTTAATGGTCGTGATAAGGAGATTTTTGCTCATGTAGCTGATATGCCAACGACCACTAATTGCTGCCGGCGTAAGTTTTCGGCACATGGGACACATATCCACTAGCTATAAAAGAGAGAAAGAAATTTAGACCGCTGAAAACAGCTACATTTTTGAAATGTCGCATACTGAACAGCCCAAGTTTTTTAAATATATGCGTCAGATACAAAAAAGCTCACGACTTCCTGGACAACCAATGCGGGTAATTGTTGTTACTGGAATACTCTTGTTGGACACAATTATACCAACCCCTTCGTTTCTGAATTGCAAGTCTTCACCTACTTTACAGTGGTTAACACGGTTTCTAAGTGCGAAGCTTTTAGAGACCCAGCAATACCGCAAATTTGTGCTAAATAGCAGCCTGTAATTTTGGGTCAGAAATTGTACGCAATTTATTTTCTTGCCGAAAACATTACATTTGTCAAGTTTTCCAAGCCAACATCATGTGTAATGTAGCCATGGGTATGTTAACACATGGCATCACTCTCGTCTTCGATGCTCTAATTTTCAGGTAACTTTCTTATTTCGTGCGGTAAGCTTTTGCACCTTCTCTCTCATCGTTCGAATGCTGCTCGTCGTGAGGACTATGTCATTTCAAAGCATAAGTAGTTTTGCTGTTCGCTATCGTTGTTCAGACCGCCTTTCCAAATTATCTTGCAATAATTTCGAGGTAGGCCTCGGCAAGCTTAAGTGACATTGGTTCTCCTTGCCTCCGCCTTTTCGATCAACATGCAGAGGAGTGTGGAAAAAAGTGTTACATGATATGAAAATGCAATGAGCACGACCATGACAAATTTGGAGGAGTCACATACATGAAGCAGTTTGCGCATGGAACTGATAGTTTTATCATCGTGCTGCAGGCTGTACGGGACACTTGGTGATACAGAATGGATCCTCGGGATTTCAATTTTCGCTGCCACCTGAAATTCCAGCACTCACCTAAAACTATTTTGGGAAATCTTTTATTGTCTGGAATTTCAGGTCTGTAATACTTAGATACAGCTTTTCCGTAGAATTCGCCATCGGCCTCCTGATCGAGTTGCAATATCTTTTTGTTTACTTATCACAGAATTATTAAGCTGACGGTGGCTTTTATGCGTACACAGTGTTACACAGCAACATTTCGTTTTGGTAGGGCGCAACTCTACGACAAGAAATTTAACAGGTTCGAAGAAATCAACTTACTGTGTCAGTAGAACAAGATTATTTCAAATAATTTGTTCTAAAGTAAGACCATTTAAAGTTTGACACTGCACAAGCTTTAGCTTTTGATTAGCTCCTCTTCCAGCTCCGATTTTCCCACCACGTTGGAGTTCGTTGGTTTGGTTTCATGCATTAGCAGAAAGGGAAAGCACTGTTCATCAGCTGATGAAATTTTGAGCAATTTCTAGAAACATCAAACTCGTGAATCTAAGCCGACAGCTTTTATATGTGATCTCTGCAGTCACTTGTTTGATTTTTGCTTATTTTTTTTCAAACGATCAAATTTTTGTAAATATACCTTTTCTGATACTGACCGAAATGTGACTAAAGCGGCTTGAATGAGCTGCTCAAGCGGATCTGCTTGTACATACCAGAAATAGCGCACATCAAGCAATTTCAAAATTATCAGGACTACCGGAACTTTGAAAAAGTACATCACAATTTCAGCAAATAAATTCTGGCTATCATCTAAAGCAAGGAGTCGTCATGTGTACGCAAGTCAAACACACGAAACAAGGGATTTGTTCTCAAAGACCTATGCCAGTTCGTGCAGAGAGATTGCAGTTAGTAAACTGCGTAGACTTGAGAAAACACGCCGCATAACTTTGACTATTCAGAAACACAGCAGGAAAATTAACTTTCTTCCTGGTCATCTACTTCCAAAATAGAGCTGCAACAAACTTACACACAATATAATTCCTTTAGCTCGAAAGATACCACGCGTTCCAGAAAGGAACACAGCCGAAGAAGACAGAATTCCCACTAGAAGCAAAAGTCAGAGACGAAATGTATCACATCTTGGTTGTTGCCAGTCGAATCCCCAAGGCTGTTTTAGTGATATCCGAAAAAGAAAACGATTCACCACATTTTTCGAGCTACTTGGCGGTGGCAAATCATCGCGAAAGATTCAGAGAGATTAATGAGACCAGGAAGCGGGTAGATGGCAATTACTAAAAGAAATTAATATGCGCTAAATCCTTCAAACGAAGAAGCCAGAAGCCCAAAAAATTCGGTAGAAATTAACCCGAAGGGTGAACAGATCAGGCGCTGCAGCTTCCGAACTGAAGAATTTGATGGCGAATCCCTCACGAATTTTGAACCCCTAACGAGAATTTGACGATGAATACCGCAACTAAGAATGCAAAAAGGCTCATAAAAACCGATACACTGAGGCAAATCGCGGGCCTGCTTGTGGCCGATGCGGAATAAATCATGCAATCGCCGACACCCTGCAAAGCAGTAATTGGTCCTTTGCGCATATCCAGTTCTGATTGTTGGGTACCGACTGGAAATGGCCGTGACGCTACCAGTGGATCTTCCCAGCCATATGCATCCGTCATGTAAACACCAATTAAACACCATGGTGTAATGTAACAAGGCCCGAGTGACGCGATGGATATCTGTTGATCTGCTTACTTTTTGGCGATACTGACGCTGGAACATTCAAACCAACCTCAGTTAACCAGTGTACGCAGTCCCCAGAAAAATGGATCATCGAAATTTTCGTTACTGAATGTATGCGCCCAGCAATGCATGCGCCTAGAAGCACCCCGTAATCCAATATTTGTTGAATTGAGGCAACTCATAACTGAGCCGGACAGCCTTACTAAGTACATGTGAAGTAATAATGAATTCGATTTCGTGTCGATTCCGCTAAAAATGTGTTGTGGAGAGTACTGCCAAGTGTGCCACTCGCTGACGGTATATATACAATTCGTATCATGGTGACGGAGATTTCGTTTTGGCGCATTTTCAAAAGGTTTTTGGCGCAATTGAAGGTCGCTCCGCGGAGGAATTCCATAAACTACAATTTTTGCTCCCTAATAAAGAGCGAGATGTACTTCTTTGTATGAATTTTTACAACAGATGTTTTTCAGCTTCTTAAAAATAACGTGGAAAACCCCAGCTTTCTTTGTGGCTAAGGAATGTTTGCTGCAGTTCGCCTTCCGACAATTTACGGGTTAAATTCCCGAGAGAGTGCTGTGGATTAGATGGAAAGCTGAAGTGTGAATGAGCGGCCGTCAATGGCCGAGTAAAAAGTTGTAAAACTGTCCCCATCCGTTCGTGCGACACCCTTTCGATATGTATTCCAGCCACACTTTTTTTTTTTTTTTGCATTTTTTTAAGAAAAGTCAAAATGTAGTAAGGCATTTTAAACGCCGATAATTAAAAGTGGGACGTCTGCAACCGCGGTGAATAGAGTGCAACAGATTTGCTTATATCAGTGGAGAGATTGAAAGTTTGCAAGAAACTTTTCAACAAAACTTAAAGAATTCTTGGTATTGAAGGTGAATTGTTCGAAGCTTTAATAAACAGCGAAATTGGCCGAGAGTCAGTGTGGAAAGCGCATGTCTCCCTCTACACAGGCTGTTACGAACGTCCTTACAAAAGAAAATCTTTAATTACGGTACAAAACAGTACCACATTAAAACAAATATTCGGAAATAATACCAAATTCGCCGCTTCACTCTACAAGAAGCCAAGGCATCTGTGTACTGCCCGTATGAACAGCAAGTACAAGTCGGCAGAATTTTGAAAGGATTCGAAGATTAAAAAAAAATTAAAAAAATGTATAAAAAGTGCTAATTATAAAAAGTAAGGAAAATT